GTGAACTTGCAGCAATCCCCCTCCCTCAGGTTCTGGAATTACAGGCATGCACCACCACACCTAGCAATTTTCAGAAACTTTGAAGCTTGTTTAAAAAAAATAATTTTTACTAGTTATGGTTGTTCCCCTGGGAAAAGAGTTCTGGGAGGTGAGCTGTGGTAAAAGTTTTAAGGAGTAATGTGTAAGATGACAAAACTGTACAGAAAAGCCTCAAGAAATAGATCTGAAACCTCATGAATAGAGTTGCAAATGAGTATTACTCAAGGACTATACTAAAACTTTATTTTTTGGTACCGGGGATCGAACTCGGGTCCTTGAGTTTAAAACTTTGTCTGCAAAATGTTGTCCAGATTAATCAGTGGCCAGTCACTTACCTAATTTCTTTTGTATATTGGTTGGGTAGTCATTGGGATGGAATTCCAATGGGTCTGAGTTTTTACTCTATTTTTATTGAGTGTTTCGGATCCTTGGCTTCTCTCTTTAGTTAATTGTGTCCATCTTGCTCTCTAATGTACGTCACTGTAACAATCCCACTTTTCTGGGGATGGGCTTTTGATTGGGTAGAAACTGGAGGAAGCAGCATCCCGTGCAGCAGAAGAGGAGAAGAAACGCCTGCAGACGCAAGTAGAGCTGCAGGCCAGGTTCAGCTCGGAGCTGGAGCGAGAGAAGCTGGTGAGGACCATGTGACGGGGAGGCTGGGAGCGGCCTTCTTATCACATGGCTCTGCTGCTGACTTGCAGTGACTGCTGGGGAAGTTATTCATTCATTCATTCATTCATTCATTCTCCCTTTATTATGCACCTTCTGTGCTAAAGATGTATAGATGAAAGATAGGAACTTACTGTTTAAGACCCTGAACAGACATTTATGGAAAGGGGTAATAAATGCTTGGTCAGGGTGACTATATATCCTGATTTGCCTGGAACAGTGCTGTCATCCTAGTATAATTAATATCCCTTCTCATTCTCAAAAGAGTTCTGGTTGGAAAATCAATAGTAATGAGAAAGTAAACGTAAGTTTCATGACATTTTCCCTCTGAAATGAACCAAGAGGAGGGGTCTGGACTCTGGTCTGCTGCTCCTGGGGGCTGTGGTTGGTCCTCTGCTCCCAAGGTCCAGGTTGCTGGAGGTGGTTAGCCAGGTCCATGGAACCCAGCTGTCTCCGGCTGAGTGGCACTGTGTGGGGGACGCTGAGCCCAGCTCCTGAACACGCCGGTGACACTGCTTTCGTCCCTGCTGGTCACTCAGTTCAGAGAGCTATGATCATGTTGTGAGCAGAAGGACAACAGGCAGGCAATCCAGGTGTTTGGAGCAGGTCTGTACTCAGAGCCCAGAGACCTGGCCTTTCCTCTCTGCTCCTCGCCAAGCCAGTTTCTTCTCCTTAAATGCAAGGATTATCGGCTGCTTTCTCATAATGACTCTTACGAGGACAAAGTGAGCTAATGCTAGTAGAAATATTTTACAGAATGACATATATGCTAACAAGTATATTATATTTAGAATTTATTCATTTGTGGTACTGAGGATTGAACCCAGAGTCTGCACTAAGCTATATTCTCAGCCCTTTTTTATTTTGAGACAGGGTCTCAGTAAGTTGCCCAGGCTGAGCTTGAACTTGCAGTCCTGCTTTAGCCTCCCAGAATGTGGGATTACAGGCTTATACCACCACATTTCCTCTTTATCTTTTAACTTAAAAAGCAGTAATCCAAGCTCTTTAATCCAGAAGGGGCAAACTGTGCACTTGTTAAGATACTAATTTAATTGCTTGAGTTCCCCGAGGGCTGGAGGTTCCTTAGGGAGGGAAGAAAAGAGGTGGAGGCGTCTCTGCAGGCCTAGCTGCCTTTCCCCTGCATTTTTCACGTGGGCTGCTCTGACTGGCAAAGACTCATTCATTCCTTTTAGAGGTAATGGATGATAAAGAGGTTGTTGCTTTGAGACAGAATTTAACTTAAAGAGAAATTATGCAGGGGAACACTTTTTTCTTGGCTTGAATCAACATGTGGAGTGGAAAAGATGGAAAACACACCAGAGCAGGAACATAGGTTGTAGTTCATTTCTTTGGATTCTTTCACTGCTGGTCTGGGTGTGCACTCTGGTTTCCTCCATATTTAGTTCCAGGAGTGGGGGACAGGGACCTCCATATGATGGGCTGCAGCTCAGGGCAGTGGGCAGGTGCCCAGAACAGAGTGGGGGGCTCCCTGGTCCCATGTAAACATGACCATGTTTCACACCTTCAGATCAGACAGCAGATGGAGGAGCAGGTTGCACAGAAGTCCTCTGAACTGGAGCAGTACCTGCAGCGTGTGCATGAGCTGGAGGACATGTACCTAAATCTGCAAGAGGCCCTTGAGGATGAGCGCCAGGCCCGGCAGGATGAAGAGACGGTGCGCAAGCTGCAGGCCAGGTGCCAGAGCTGTTTGTACACTTTACCTGTGCGTTCTTCCCATGGGCTGACGGTTTCTCTTGATGACCAGAACTCCGGGGGAGAGGGAGGAGGGTCTCAGCCCTGGCAGTGGTTGAGTGCTGGAAAGACCCTGGACGCTTGGCTGGCTTGATGTTCTTCTCAGGCTGGGGCAGTTGTGTTCTGTAACTGGGATCTCCCAGCGTCAGGCTATGGACTGGTACCTGGTCCTGTTAGGAGCAGGGCTGCACAGCAGCAAGTGAGCAGCAGCTGAGTGAGCCATGCTTTATCTGTATCACAGCTGCCATTGCTCATATCACTGTCTGAGCTCTGCCCCTGTCCAAGCAGTGGCGGCTCTAGAGTCTCAGGAGCAAGGACCCTGCCGGGAACCGTGCCTTTGAGGGATCTAGGTTGCCAGCTCCTTACGAGAAGCTAATCCTGAAACCATCCTGCTGTCATATCCCTCACCCCTGTTACACTGGTCCCTGTTGCCAGAAAGGTTGAGAATGTGGACCCGGATCAGTTCTCTTGAGAACGTGACTGGGACCTTGCACTTGCGAAGCAAGCAGCAGAACCACTGAGCTAAATCCCCGGCTCTGAGAACATGACTTCTTCACCCTGTACGTTACCAGAGAGGGCCCTCAGTCCTTAGTGAAGCATTGGAGCCAGATTCAGGCCAGAGGGGCACCTGGTTTGGGGGTACAAGGAGGAGATGTGCTTTCCTTCCTTTCTTTCCTTTTTTTTTCACTACTTGTTTGTAGTATATAATGATCACATTCCTCGTGGGGAGTTGGTACATGTACATAGCACATCTTAATACTTTTGTCGTCCCCTTTGCCTCCTCTTTCTTCTCCCCTCCCCTCATCTCTTGATCCTTTTCCCCTTTGAGAGAGATCTATCTCCCTACTTCATAATTTGGGTTTCTCATAGAAACAATGTGATATTTTAGCTTGTGTGATTTATTTCACTTAATATTGTGGTCTCAAGTTGCATCCATTTTTCTACAAATGACTCAGATATCCTTTATGGTAGAATGGTATTCCATTGTGTATACATACCACATTTTCTTTATCCATTCATCTGTTGATGGACATATAGGCTGCTTCCAAGATTTAGCTATTATGAATTATGCTGCTATAAACATGGGTATGCAGTATCACCGTAATATGATGACTTAAGCTCTTTGGGGAAGATACTTAGAAGGGGAATAGCTGGGTCAAATGGAATTTTCATTTTTTGTTTGTTTTTTTTAGACAGGCTTGCTTTGTAGTGCAGGCTGGCCTTGAACTCACTGGGTAGTCCAGGCTGACCTCAAACTTGTTGTGATCCTCCTTTCTCAGCCTCCCGAGTGCTGGAATTATAGGCATGCATCACCGTGCCCAGCAGTTCAATTTTTGAGATAGAAATCTCCATATTGATTTCCATAGTGGTTGCACGAGTTTACATTCCCAACAATGTAGAGGGTTCTTTTATCCTCACAGCCTCACCAACATTTATTATTATTTGATTTCTTGACAGTAGCTGTTATTTCTGCGGTAAGATGGAATTTCAGTGTTGTTTTAATTTGGATTTCTCTAATGGCCAGTGATGGCAAACATTTATTTATTGAGCATTTGTAATCTGAGAAGTGTCTGTTCATTTCACTTGTCCATTTTTTGATTGGGTCGGTCTTTTATTTTGGGGGTTTCATTTTTTTGAGTTCTTACGTATTCTAGATATTAATCCTCTGAGCAATAGCTGGCACAGTTTTTTTCCCATTATGTAGGTTGTCTCTTCACTCTGTTGGTTCTTTTACTATGAAAAAGCTTCTTAATTTGATACGAGATATGAATAATCTAGATTGAATCTTCTGCATGTGGATAGCCAGTTTTCCCAGCACCATTTATCTTTCCTCCCGTGTATGTTTTTGACCCCTTGGTCAAAAATCAAATAGTTGAATGTGCTTGGAGTTACTTCTTTTTTTGCGCCCATACCATGCTGTTTTTGTTTTATTTTATTTTGTTTTGTTTTATCATTATAAGTCATTTCTTGGCCTTTTGGCTAAGATCAAGTGTTTTATCATTATAGTTTGTAATATAACTTCAAATTTGGCATTGTGATGCCTCCTGCTTTGCTCTTGTTATCCAGGATTACTTTTTCTATTCTGGGTCATTTCTGTTTTGATGTGAATTTTAGGATTGTTTTCTACAATTCTGTGAAGAATGCTGTTGGTATCTTGATTAGGATTGCATTAAATCTGTATATCAGTTTTGGAAGGATGGCCATTTTGACTATATCGATGCTGCCTATCCAGGAACAGGGATATTGTCTTAGCTACTTTTCTTGTTATTGAGACAAAACACCCAACACCCAAAGTTAAAAGAGGAAAATTTTATTTTGGCTCACAGTTTGTAGAAGTTTCAATCCAGAGTCAGCAGGCTTCAAGGCAAGGTGGCAAGGCAGAGGGGCATCAGAAAGGAGAAACAGTTCATGGCAAAGCAGGGCAGGCAGAAGACAGCAAAGCAGTGAAGCAGCAGCAAGCCCGCCTTTATATTTCACCCAGGCTACCTGCCCTTAGTCAGGTGCCACCCACACCCAGGGTAGGGCAGCCTTAATCCCAGCATCACACACTCAAGATCCAGCCACCTCCAGATAGCCCCACCTATGACCACATGAGGCTTTGGGGAGACATCTAGATACAAGTCTTAACAGATAGCTTTCCATTTTCTGATGTCCTCTTTGATCTCCTTTTTCAGAGTACTGAAGTGTTCATTGTAGAGTTCTTTCACTTCCTTGGTAGGTTAATTCCTAAGTATTTTTTGGTGCTATTGTGAATGGTATTTTTTTCCTAATTTCTTTTTCAGTGAGTTAATAATTGGTATACAAGAATGCTATTGATTTCTGTGTGTTGATTGAATTGCTCAATTTGGTTAATTCTAGGAGTCTTTCGGTGGAAGTTTTGGGGTCTTCTATGTTAAAAAAAAAAATCTAGTTTCCCATAGAGGAAAAGCTTTCAATTTTTCTCCATTTAATATGATGTTGGCAATAAGTTTGTCATAAATTGCTTTCATATACCTGTTTTCCTCAGTGTTTTTTTTCTTTTGAATAATGAATGGATGTTGGATTTTGTCAGTGGCCTGTTCTTCATCTGTTCCAATGATCATGTGATTTTTCTCCTTGCTTCTGTTTACATAATGTATTACCATTGTTGATTTGTGTATGTCGAACCATCCTTGCATCCTTGGGCTGAAGCCTACTTGGTTGTAATGTATAATCTTTTTGACGATTTGTTGTGCTCTGTTTGGCTGAATCTTGCTGAGGATTTTTGCATCTATGTTCATTAAGAGATTGGCTTGTAATTCTCTTTTTTGATTGGATCCTTTTCTGGTATTGGAATCAAGGTAATGCTAGCTTCAGAAATGACTTTGGGAGTATGACTATTCCTTCACTTTCCATTTCCTTAAAGAGCTTGAGGAGTACTAGTGTTAGCAGTGAATCCATTGGGACCTTGGCATTTCTTGGTAGGTTTTTAAATTCCTGCTTCAATTTGATTGCCTGTTATTGGGTTGTTCAATTTCTATATCTTCTTGGTTTAGTTTTAGTAATTCATATGTATGTAGGAATCTACCATTTCTTCTGAATTCTCCAGTTTATTGGTGTACAGGTTTGTGGAGTAGTTGCTAGAGGTCTTCTGGATTTTAGCAGTGTCTTGTGATTTCACCTTTTTCATTTCTAATTCCATTCACTTGGGGCTTTCCTTTTTTGGTAAGATTGGCTAAGTGTTCTTCTTTTCTTTCAAAGATTCTGTGTTTTTTTTGTTTTTTGTTTTTTGTTTTTTTGGGTACTGGGGATCGAACTCAGGACCTTGTGCTTGCAAGGCAGGTGGTGGCACCACTGAGCTAAATCTCTGGCCCCTGTGTATTGGTTTTTAGTCTCAATTTCATTGATTTCTGCCCCGATCTTTGTAATTTCTTTCCTTCGAGTACTTTGGCATTTGGATTGTTCTAGTCTCTTTAGGACATTGAGGTGCATCTCTAGGTTATTTATTTTGGCTCAAACTGTTTTTCTGATGTGGGCCTTCACAGCTCTAAGCTTCCCTCTTAGCCTTGCTTTCCTTGTGTCCCAGAAGTTCAGAGATGTGCTGTTTCTATTTGGTCATTCAGGATTGGCACCACCCCTTCAATAAATACTACTTAAAATTGTAGTTTAAAAATTTTTTGAAACTAGATTTTTTTCCTCAGAGCTTTGAAAGTCAGGTTTAAATTTTATGATAGTCATGTTCTCAGACAAAATCTCTCAATTTTGGGTCATCATCACAGGAGGGGAGGACAAAGTAAAATGAACCCCCCTGCCAGGGGAGGTTTGAGGTATTCCCTTCCTGTTTCTAACTTGCTGCTCCATTTGCATTCTTTATGATGCAACTTGTCTGGGGCAACACTGAAATTCTTTACTCCAGGAATGGCACCTGACATCCTCGGAGATGTACCCAGGCTGGGAGCCCTGACTGCCAGTTCAGGGAGCAGTTAGGAGACAGCTGGGCTGGAGTTTTCATGGCTGCCATTCCCCATGTGCAGCAGCAGAAGATGTTTGATCTTTAGGAAAGGGTAGAGGCAAAAAGAGTTTCCTATAGTTGTATATTTTGGCAAAGTCACTTCAAAGATAAATTGGTTTTGAAAACTTAAATTATATTAGGGAGCAAATTATCAGCCAAGTAAAAAAAATAAGTGCTTGTCATATTTCCTGGCATTTTTTAAGTCCCATGAGAATGTGTTCCCTGTATTGTGGTGGTCACCAGATTCTTGAAACTGTCTTCCAGTGCCATCGGCAGTGACATTAGCAGAAGATCCACTGCACAGGAGGATGTGGGTCTCATGTGACTTGCAAAGAGTGGCATTCTAAATGGCATCAGACTTTCTGGGTTTTGGGCCACTTGCTAATTTGTGCTGTTTTTATAGCTGATGCTCATGTACAGAATTCACAGGTGGGGTATGTTGCATGTCTTGCTGCAGGTTTGAGGGAAATTGATGATGACACAGCAGAGATTAGATCACAGAAGGAAAGAGGTAAATGTAGAAATTCTCTAATGGATCAGTTATTTAGTGTTCATAGAATGAGTCTTCCTCTCCCCTTCCCCTCTCCGTCCTTTCCTTCACCCCTTCCTCCCCCCTTTTCTTTCCCTTCCTCCTTCAGTTCCCTCTTTTCTTCTTTCCTCTTCACTTTTCCTTCCTTTCTTTCTTTCCTCCCTCCCCTTCCCCTTCCCCTCCCTCCCTCCCACCCTCCCTCCCTCTCTCTCTCTCTCTCTTTCTTTCCCTCTCCCTCCCTCTTTTGCCCCACCCCACCCATGTACAGATGCTTTGAATAAGGGACAGATTTTTGGTAATTGAAGCCATGAGTTTTAAACCACCGATATGTATCAGAATTTGCAAGGTTTTAAAACCTTACAAAGTTTTTTTAAAATATGGGCATCTCGGGCTGGGGATTTAGCTCAATGGTTTCACCGCCTGCCTTGCAAGCGCAAGGACCTGAGTTCGAACCCCGGTACCAAAAAAAAATGGGCCTCTCTCCAGACTTACTGCATCAGAATGTCTGAGGATAGGAGCCAGGCATGAATATTTTTATTTAAAAAGCTCTAATTGTTTTGTATACTCTGATTTAAGCAAAGAGCAACATGGTTTCAACTTTTTAAAATGTAAATATCTAATTACTATGTATATCTCTTCTCCAATAAGCTGAAAGTACTGCACAAAAATTTAACTTTTTTTTGACATACAAAGGCAATTTTGTAAATTATTTTACTCTTCTGAATTATTTTTCTTATTAGCTTTTGGAATTTTAAACGGGCAAATTTGCCCCATCTAGTGGTCATTTTTAAGTGTGGCAAGTTCTCTTTTTCCCCAAAGTCCCCAAGGCCCTGCCTGACTCTGAAGAGCATTGGGTCAGATTGGCCTCAGGATCAGCTTGGGTAGAAGAAACGAGAGAAGTCATCTCGGAGTTGGGTTACTGCAGCAGGGAAGGAAACACAGGCTTAGGTACTGTAAAGGGCTTTCAGGGAAACCTCCTCAACCTTCCCCCACAGCAGCAGCAGGTCTGGGGTATTTGCACCTCAGTGTCCTTCTAATGCATGGTCCTTTCTCTGTCAGTGCTGTAAGTTTCTCCAGAGGTCGATTTTGTAGTTAGTTGTTTAAGTACAGGAAGTCTGACTTGAGTCACCTGGTCTGATAATTTTTTTTTTTTTTTTTAGTACTGGGGATCAAACTCAGGACCTTGCGCTTTCGAGGCAGGCACACTGAGCTAAATCCTTGGCCCTGGTCATTTTTTTAAAATTAAGATTTCAGTTTATTTTTTTATGTGCCTGGCGCATGGTGAGTGTGTAAGGAATAGTTTTTTAATGAGCAGGTGGATCCAAGTCCTATCGGTTGAGGCTATAGGGACCTGCAGTCTCCCTTGTGGTGCGATACTGTTTATGTAGTTGAAGGTAGTTGGGCTTCTGGAGGGAGGTGTGGGTAATTGATTCCTGGTATTTTGTGGCCATGTAACTTTAGGAAAACATCTTACGGCTTTGGGTCTTCAGTTTATCTATGAAATAAAGGTAATTGCCAGCCTCGTCCAGGGTTATGAAGATGAAATAACATGGGCCCAGTGTTTTGAGTAATGTCGGGCCTTCGGTAGTAGAAGAGCGTGCCGCTTTGTTTCTTCATCTCATTTGCAGTTGGGATAGACATGCATAGAATTTCGTAATACAGTAAGCATTCAAAAAGATGTTGACAATCTAGAACAATAGTTTTAGACTGAAGATAGTTTAAAATATCGAAAGAGCAAGTCCCACATCAGGAGACTTGGCTTAATAGAGATTCATTTGAAAAACTTCAGCGTTTCATCGCCCTGTGATGTGGTTGCCAAAACCCTCACATACTCTGAGGCAGCTTTAGTGCATGTGCGGTATTCAAAGCAAATGAAGTAATCGTCCTACTGTAGTGACCTGAGCTGTTATTTACTCAGCTGTTGCTACTAGGTAGGTATGTAAGTACTTTATATGAATTATTCTATTTAATACAAATCTCAGGTGGTGGATAGAATGTCTTTTTTTTTTTTTAAACTGGTCTTGTTATATTGCCCAGGCTGGCTTTGAACTCCTAGGCTCAAGCAGTCCTCCTGCCTCAGCCTCCCAAGTAGCTGGGTCTACAGAAATATGCCACCATGCACTGCTTATTTTTTTTTTCTTTATATAAATGAGGAAGGTGAGGAACAGAAAGGTGAGGCATTGAGGTCTTTAGTCAGGAATTTGATTGCAAACTACAGACACCACCTAGGATTAGCTAAAGCAATAAGACAGTAAATTGGAAAGTTCTTAAATAGCTCAATGATTCCACAGAGTCTGGTGGCAGGGCTGGGACCCTGGCAGGAATTGGGAGGCCGAGCAGCCCAAATTATGGCCCAGGCCAGGCTGTAGGGCATTGCTGCTCACAGGGGGCTTGGCTGTCACTGGGTGTTGCTACCATCAGCAAGACCCGTTCTCCACTGTCCCTGGTTCTTTGTATTAGTCACCCCAGAGTCAGAGGACTTCACTCAGCCAGGCTTAGCTCTTGCTGGCACCGTGCCCTGTCTGCCAAGGGGCAGAAACAGGTGTCTGGGCCATGCATCTCTAGTGGGGTGGGCACTCCTGCCCACCAACGTCCCTGCCGTGGCTCGGTCCCCTGTCACCAAGGGGACACAGGCTGGGCAGCCTAGCCACTGCCCACCTCCACTCCCCCATGCACTTCCACCGAGTGAAAATTGAGCCCTTCCCACCTTGTTAACAGTGGCATCCCCTGTCACCTAGGGTTGGAGCCACCTCTAAGGAGACAGGAGGGACTTTTGACCCTGCGTGCGAGGTCTGGGATGCCTGAGCTGGGGTTGTGGGTCTGGTGTGCAGCCTGCTTTGTTGCCGTTTTCTTTTCCCTCAGTTCCTAGCAGCTGACCTGCCTGAGACTTGACTTCCTTGCTCATTACTAGGTCCGCGTCCTCTGCAGGGCTGACATCTGACCTCAGCACCTGTGTTGCCGTATTGATTTAAACATTCGCACAGTTGGATAAGCAGCCAGTTAGTGAAGATAACATTTGGAGTCAGGCCGACCTGGGTTGAGACCCATTGCGACCTGGGCACTGTGCTTACAATCCCTTGGATTTCCATTGCCTCATCGCTGACGTGTGAGAATGCTGTGTGGGATCACGCGGATTAGCAGTAATGAAGTTCAAGTGCCTGGCACCTAGCAATTGCTCAGTAAATTATCTGTTGTTCTCCTTTGTGTCAGCTTTTTTTCCCTTTGTCTTCGTTACTTTGTCAGCTTTTTCCTTGGTAATAGGTCTTTACCAGGTGAAGAAATGTTTAATGTTGTAGCAACCAGAGAAATTTCAAAACGGCTGCACCACCTGGCAGGTGAAATGATCTAGTAGAGGTCACTTAACCTTTGCATCTCAATTTCTCCACCTCTACAGTGTGAGGAGTGATAGTGTCAGGGTTAATGGAGAAATACCCTTGACTAGCTCAGTTCCTGGCACACATTCAGGTTGGTGTAAATATTCCCTCCCTCCCTCCCTCCTACTCTCCCTTTTCAGAACAGGATAAAACTGAAAGAGCTTGGTGCAGGCCTGTGGGCCACCTACCAGCTTTCAAGTAGAGTGTCTCTGGCTCCACTTTCCTCTGTGTAAAATGGGAGGCATTTGGGGACCTCACATGCTCTTCTCTGAAAGGCGTCCCTGCTCTGCCTGGGCAGGATGGGACCCTGAGTCTCTCCATGCTGCAGGTTGCTGGAGGAAGAGTCTTCTAAGAGGGCGGAGCTGGAGAAGTGGCACCTGGAGCAGCAGCAGGCCATTGCCACCACGGAGGCGGAGAAGCAGGAGCTGGAGCACCAGCGCACTGAGAAGGAGCAGGCGCTGCAGGAGGCCATGGCACAGCTGGCGCAGCTGGAGCTCGAGCGCAAGCAGGCGCTGGAGCAGTATGAGGTGAGCGGGCCCTGTCACCCCAGGCACCCCTTAGACACTGCATCCCAGAACACACGCCCAGCCGCCAGCAGGAAGCTGTAGGGAGGAAGGCAGAGGAGCTTTTCACAGGAATGAGGTGTGTGGAGTCTGCACCCGTCCCTGGCAAGCTGCCCTCTGCTTACTGGCGGAAGCTGTCCCTGAGGAGGTGCCACCGAAGCCCAATGGGGAGATCACTATGAGTACCCCAAGTGGCAGCTGGAGAAAAGCCCTTCTGCTGCCACTTCTCAGCACCCGCCGCTGATAAAGCTTGCATGGTGCAGCTGGTACAGGAGAACTATCCTAGGACACAGGCAGGTCAGCGGGTGGTAGATTTGGATTTGGATTTGAGGCAGGAAAATGTAACCGGCACAGGCTCTTCTACAGCCACGAATGTGCTGGAAGGACAGGCTTTGGAACCAGGGTTTCAGTCCTGGCTCCTGCCTCCTCCTGTGTGGCCTAGGCGGGCTCTTAACCTCTCTGAACCCTAGTTTCTTCCGCTGTATAGTGGAGCAGTAATAGCTCCTACTTGTTAGAGTGAGGATTTAGTGATGCTGTAAAGAAGCATGTAGTAAGTGACCATCTTGTTACTTGGTTCTTAAAGTACCTGTGGGCCTGCAAAGTCCAAAATCCATTTTTGTTCCAGGGCGTTAAGAAGAAACTGGAGATGGCAGCTAATACAACAAAGAGCTGGAAGGACAAAGTGGCGCATCATGAAGGATTAATTCGATTGATAGAACCAGGTAATAGATTCTTTGGAGCAGTTATATGTTTATTTTTTAAATTTATTTTTGTTTTGTGTACTTGAATTGTACTTAAAAACATACAACCTTTTTAAGGCCTAAATAAGTAAGACCCAACCCGTTGAGGGCGACTTACCTTGGCCAGCTTGTCTCCAGTCGCTGAGGCCCCGGGCGCCCTGTGTGTACATCTTCTACGGGTAGAGGCGTCGGTGTCCTGTCCCCGAACAGAGTGGCGCACAGTGAGGAGCGGGCACTTCCTGAATCAGGGCCCCTGTGTCTCCTAGGTGCAAAGAACCCTCACCTCATCACTAACTGGGGACCTGCAGCCTTCACCCAGGCTGAGCTGGAGGAGAGAAAGAAGAACTGGAAAGGGAAAAAGACCACGGAGTGACCGAGCGAGGCTGAAGTCCCCTCTGCCGTGTAGATACGAGTGTGGCCCCAGAGCTTTCTGCTGAAGACGACAGAAACCGGCTTTGCTGCTGTAATGCTCCTTCCCTCTTCTTTCCCTCCGGGCCTCCCCGGGGTCCAGCTCCTAAGGAGGCCTTCTCTACCTGCCCGCAAGCAAAGGCTTCCCTGAAAACAAAAAAGTCCATGTTGTCAGGCTCTTCCTTTCCTCTTCCCTTGAAACCTTGGGCTTCTGAAAATCCCATTTAGCTCAGACTCTCTTCTAACTGAGGCTGAGCACAGACCCATGGTGCCCTCCGTCGCTGCAGTGCTGTGGCCCCGATGGTGAGAGCCTCTGTGGCTTACATCTCTGAGACCTGCCAGTCCTCCTGCTGTTCTGTGCCGGTGACACAGAGGCTGCTGGGTGCTCTCCCAGGGAAGTCCTGGAGTCACTGCCTTTTCCTGGTCGCTTATCTACAGTGTGATCTGGTTAGGGGAGCTTTGCTGGCTTCTGCTGACGAGTTTCTTCCCAGCCGTCGTGCGGTTGGCATGAGTGGCTCCCATTTGCTTTCCCTCACCTCAGAGAAGACATCCCTGTGGCCCACACTCAACCTGATTCTCTCGGTATTCTCTCGGTCTTCTCTCTGTCCAGCGAGCAACAGGCTACCTGGCCTGTGCCATGCAGCAGGAGGATCACGTGTAGTAGAAAGAAGCCAGTTTGAAATAAAAGGCATTTGGATAATTTCTGCAGCAGATTATATGGTCCTGGGCAGTGGGAAGTTGACCGTGTGCGAGTGCAGTTAGGTGTAAACATCATAAGGATGGGGTTGTCACTGTATTCCCGGGCTGTGGAGCTAGCTCTCATCAGCTGGGCAGCTTTTCTGCTTTTCCTTGGGTGCCAGGGAGGAAATACCCAGTAAAAATAAGTGTAACAAGGAAATTGGGATCAGAGGGTCTATGCATCTGATTTGAAAGAAATATTGGGAAGGTTCTCGTATGTATCTTTGGATTGAGAGTAGTATTTATGAAATCAAGCCTTCTAATACTGGTTATTTATAAGTAGCAATAACTTCATAGACAGCAATGATGCTTACAGTTGTACAGAAATACAGGTAATTCCATGGTTACACAAAAGACAGAATTCAGCAGAAATGTGCCAGTCTTGCCTGGGAGGACAGAGCAAGGGCAGGGAACCTCATGCCTTCTTACTCTAGCTTTTGGGAGAGCAGTAAGGAAGCTCTTCCTTAAAGATCTATGCATCTAGACTGTATGGTTTTAGAGATTTCAGAGTAGGTATTTATTTACACAGGAGGAAACTGGAATATAATTCCATAAATCTTCACCTTTTATGACTGGAAAATATTTGCCAATGAAGTAGTCTTTAGAAATTTGTCTTAAGGTTTTTACTTGTTTAATAAAAAATGTAATTTAATGATCTCTTATAGTTGGTGTTATAGTTTAGATTTTTATCTGAAATATCTTTATCATGTGCCTTCCAAATTTCACGGTTAATTTGGGTGTTGGTTTCTGACCAGCCACTTATCAGTATTACCATTTTATTTGGTGGCTGGCAGGTACATTAGGCCAAGTGAGAATGGAACTCTCCTATGATTACACCAGGGGGCTCCATGGTCCCTTGAAGGAAGGAGGAAAAGACACAAAGACGCCAGTGACCTATTGTGGAAGACAGTGTGGATTCGGGGTTCTATAGTCCATGTGTGGCAGGAGGGTGAGGGTGTGGAACGAGCCCGTTTCTGCACTGGGCAGGTGTGAAGTGGCCGTGAACCTTGGCAGAATATCCCTCAGGACACCCACAGCTGGCAGCCTGCCTCACGGTGAGGCCGAGGCCACTGCTTTCATGACCAGACCGAGCAGCTCTGCCGTGGCTGTCAGAGGTGTCTGTTTCGTGCTCAGTGGGACTGGTTTTACACTGTGGCTTCAGTGGCACCATCTCCAGGGGCAGAATCTTTTCAAACAACAGAAAAGACAGCACAGGAAGGAACCATGGTGAGCTGACATTTTGATACTAGTTGAATTCCTCAAAATATTTAAAATGGTTTAGCTCCCGGAGTACAGTATGTATAGACTCCTGGTTACTTTTGTAACTACTGTACAGAAAATTTCAGGAGTGTTTTGACTGTTAATTGTAATCAGGCCCTTTTCCTCAATGAATCGAGATAGGATAGGATCATTTATAGGAATTATGCATGGAAAAAGTTTGAAAATGTGTTTTTGTGATTTGCTATATTGAGCAGGAACAAAATATTTATAATTTTCAAACACTTATCTAAACACTGTATAATGTAATATGCTCAACTTTCTTAATGTTTTGCTAATTTTTCTAAGATATATTAAAATATTATGTATTTTTTTTAGTAAACTGGACCCAGTAAGAAAATTAAAAATACCAGAACATCATACCTTCTAAACCGTTGGCTTAATAAAACTGGGGTGAAGCCGTGTGTGTGTGCACTTTCACAGGAGGAGCGGCACTTGGGCCCGGGGACGCTGCCTGGGAACACAAGGTTCCGAGTTAGGACCCCAGAAGTGACCCGTGTGGGGAAACCGGGACTGATGTGTCGGCTCACAAACGGGAACTTAGCACGCCGATTTCTCCCTCATTGTTGCTGTTACCTCCACATCCTCTTACCTCTGTATCCTGAGTTTTCTTTCAGTTTTTCTTCCACCAGAGGAAACAGTAGGCTTCTTTGTTTTGGTTTGCTCTGTGGCCAGGATTGCAGTGTGTCGGGAGGAAGTGTGGCTGCATTGGAAAGCTGAGGTTTCCCGTTCAGAGAGTGGCGTCAGTGTTTCTAAAAACTGTTCTGTATCTATTGCTTTGGTTCTCAGCTGGGGGCAGTTTTGCCCTCCAGGGAACATTTGCCCCTGTCTCGAGTTAGTTTTTGTTTTTCCAGCTGGAAGGAGTGGCATCCAGGGGATGGCGGGGAAGCTACAGAACATCCTACCGGCACAGGGCGCCCGGAGCAAACTTACCTTAAGCAAACCTGCTCTGCAGAAGGGCAGCTCCTGTTTCCCAGAAGCCAGTGGCTTTTGGCGTCGGGGACTCCCTGAGGAGCACGGGAGTGGCTCCTGGGGCGTCCACAGAGCACTGGGAGAGGACGCAACCAGACCTGCTTCCCAGCACACTGGGTTCTGTCAGGCTTCTTCCTTTCCAGGAGTCTGCGGTGGTCTGAAAGTGCCCCCAAAGGCGTGTGCTGGTGTTGGGAATGACTAGGCCACAGGCTGTGCCCGCACGAGTGGACTCATGAACGGGTCCCTGACCCTTCTGCACTCGCCCTCCCTACTCTGCCTGGGATGGGGCAGCAGGATGCGCCTCACCAGCCCTCAGTGCCGTGCTCTGGGGCTCCCCACCCTTCAGATACGGAGGAACAAATGTGCCTTATTTATCAAGTAGTCTGCTGTTACAGCAGCAGAACGCGGACTGAGCCGGAGCTGGCTGCTGGGGTCAGTGGGACCCGGCTGGAAGGGGACAGCACGAGCTGATGGAGAGCACCAGGCAGGAGCCTTGTCACAGCCGTGCTGGGCGGAAACCCTGGGTACTTTGTTTTTTGGTTTTTTGAGACGGAGTCTTGGCCCATAGTCCAGTCTGGCTTCGAAGTCAGGGCCCTCCTGCCTCTTCCTCCCATGCGGAAAGGCTGTGGTGCTTTTTCAACACAGATCTGCAAGGAATTGGTTTGGATGTGTTCCAGAGTCTTTCTGTGACCCGACTGCTGAGGCGAGGAGTGTAGGAGCTGCCTTAACACTGCCCCCTTTCCCCGGACTGGGAAACTCAGGGTGGGTCTGTCCGTGCCACCTGCCACCAGCGAGAAGAGAACATGTGGGTTGCGCCCAGGTGCTGCTGTGCCCTCGAGCTGCGCCTGTTCCAACCGGCAAAACGCTGATGGGGCCTGCAGGGTGGGGCCAGCGAGGCACAGCTGCCCAACTGGGCCAAGGGTCAGGGGAGTGAAGCCTGCGGGCTGGGTGGCAGCGGCGTTCTCCAGGTTTATTGTAAGTGTCAGTCTTGAGAATAGTTTAAGGAATATCTATTTCTTTCCTGCTCCATTGTTCTTTTTTAAAAAATTCAATCTGAGAATGTAAAAATCACCCCTCAACTTTGAGTCTGTTCAGCAGTGTCAACTAAAGCTAAAAACAAACTTTTTTTTTTTTTTTTTTTTGGACCGGGGATGAATTCGGGTCCTTAGCTTGCAAGGCAGGCGGTGGAACCACTGAGCTAAATCCCTGGCCCTAAAGCTAAAAACAAACACTTACCCTGTGGCCCAACAGTGTCAACCAAGAGAAATGAGGTCTGATGTCCGCAAGGGTGGTACGAGAGCCGCTGCTTTCAGAAGGGCCCCAGACCGGAAACGACCCAGATCTCCACCAGTAGACCTGTGCTGTTTTCAATAGGGGGCCTGGCGCTTAAATGAAAGGAACGCACTATGGAGAGGTGCAGGGCATGGATAAAGCCCACTAACCTCCCCAGGCGGAGAAGCCAAACACAGAACAGCACAAACTACACGATTCCATTTCTGTCACCTTCCAGAACTCGAAACCCTGACAGGTGGATTTAGAAGTAAGAAGGTGGTTACCTAGGGTGTGAAAGGGCACAAGTGAACTTTGGGGGAGCCCTGGCGTGAGTGCGGTTACATCACTGGGGAACCACTGTCCGTCGTGGGTGTCCACACTCGGGGTGCCAGGCTCACCTGTCCTCCATTGAGACAGCAGAGTCCCTGTCCCAGGCTGCCCACCTGGGCTCTCTGCCTGAAGTGCTGGTTTGGACGGGAGTACACAACCTGTAGGAGAGAAACGTCCTGGTAGACGTCTCCTCCCAGAGCCCAGTGGCCCTGTGGCCCCGTGAGTGCGGTGAGCCGGAAGGTGGCCCAGGGCAGTGAAGGGCTCTCCAGAGCAGGCGCCGGCCTTTGCAGCACGAAGCTGGAGGGAACCTGGCTGCAGTCGTCCTGGAGGACGGAGGTCACACTCGCAGGCGCACGGTGGCGGGGGTGCGCAACCTGCGCAGGTTTCTCCACACTCCCGCCGTGCCCCACCCGCTGTTCCGTCGTTTTCTCCAGAATCCCGTGGAGGGCTTTCCGCCTCCGCCCTCCAGGCGTCGGGGATTTTGGCCCATGGACGGGCGGGTTCTGAGAAGATCTAGCAGGTGGCTTCGAAGCCGGGCATGCAGGGCCACCGGAGAGCTAGGGAAATACCGCGGAGCTCGCTGCAAGCCCACAGGCGGTGCTGCCCGTTCTGGGGCGTCGTCCGCACGGATGAGGAACAGCGAGGCTGGCAGCCCAGCGGCAGCTCACTCCCCAGCCACCCCCGCCCTGTGGAAGGTGCCTGCCCGTGGCTCTCAAAGGCCTGGGTGTCACCTCCCTGGGACCCCAGAGGATGCCAGCCTCGCGCCCTGCTTCGGGGTCCTATGGTGATCGCGGTGGCCAGAGCTGTTCTTGCTCTGCTTCCCGGGGCTAGGGCAGCAGCCGCTGCCCCCCGGAGCCGCCCCCCGATGCCTTGAGGACGCCGCCCTGGCACTGAGGGCCAAGATCCCGTCACATTGCCGGAACTCCGCCGAGGCGAACCCAGGGCTGCAAGGCAGTGGCGGCCTCCTTATCGCTGTCTTCCAAGCACACGGCACCGAGTAGGCCCTTAGTACGTGCTGGAGTTTGAACGGCCCTTTTCTGAAGTAAATGCCTTCTCCTGCCCGGTCGGAGCGGAAGAAGACAGCAGCGATACATCCGCACCTTGCCCTCCTCTTAAGAATTTCTGTTCTATGCCGTCTGCCTCGCAAGCGCAAGGTCCGAGTTCGATCCCCGGTACAAAAAAAAAAAAAAAAGAACTGTTCTATTGGAGCATGTATTCCACCCTACCCCCGAGGTTGGGGATATTTTTCCTTCCTTTTTAAAAAAGCTAATCCCAGCATCTGTGGGCTGCTTTTCTCCTGGGAGTCTTCACTAAGGGGCACTAAAAGGCCAGAAAAGTTCAGAGGTACCGGTCCGCAGGCCGATTTGGCCTCTTTTCTCCTCCCCTTTTCGGTTTGTTTTTGGTTTTGGGGAGACAGGGTCTCGCTATATAATCTCAGCTGGCCTCGAATTTGCGGGGATCCTCCTGCTTCAGCCTCCAAAGTGCTGGGATTACAGGCGTGCATCACCACACCCGGTCTTCTCGATTTGATTCATACAACTTTTGTTGCTTTTTTCTTACCACAAAGTAGTACGGCTCAATGTGGAAAAAAAATATTTTTTTGTACTGGGGATCGAACTCCGGACCTTGCGCTTTGCGAGGCAGGCGTCAATGTGGAAAACTGACAAAAAGCAAGTGTGCAAAAAGCCCAAAACGCTTTGCTAAAGCTTTACCCCGCCAAGCCCTCGGCACATCCCACGCCCCGGATCAGGCTGAGCCGAGCCTCTGCTGCCATCCGGAGAGTGCTGGAAGGGACCGCACGACCGCGGGTGGCCGCCAGGGGGCAGGCGTGCGCCGCGCGTGGTTCTGCCCGCCCCAGGACGCTGCGAGGCCAGGTGATCGGCGACAGGGCTCCAGCCTTGTGGGAGCAGCCCTGACGTGACGTCCTTTACCCTTGGCAGCCCGAGAGCGGGCGCGATTGGAGCCAGGCCGCTGCCCAGGCGGACGGACATCGGCAGTGCCCTGGGGCGGAGCCCAGGGCATGGGTTGGGGGTCCCATGGGCAGGGGTCGGTGGGCGCCCGGTCCCCGAACCCCTAGGATTTCCCTCGGGAGCCCGAGGAGGTCCTGCTGGGTGACTGAGGACAGGGCCCGCCCTCCCAGTCTAATCCTGGGGCTGGGCAGGGAGGAGAAGCGCCTGCAGGCTGCGGCTGTTTCCTGACACCTCTGACCCTGGCGGTCCCCGCGGAGGCTCCAGCAAAGCAGCAAGGTCATCTAGGGCGAAATTCCAGCCTTGAGACTTCAGTTTTCTCGATAAGGCTCAAGAAGGGACAAGGAGTGTCCTCCCCGCAACCCCCTCTGTCAGCACCTCGGCGTTTGTGAAGCCTCGCTGCAGACAGCCTGACTGGGAGAGGAGACAAAGATAGACTGGGGACAGATAAGGACAGAGACAGCCCGGGGTGCAGGGACAGAGGGGGAGAGGGGTGAGCGGCCTGGCCGGGAGGGGCAGTGGGGCTGGAGCCCCCGGAGCAGATGTGGTCCTTGGGTCTTGAAGGCTGGGACAGAGAATTTTTGGTGTGGCAGAAAAACGTGTTCAGCAGGTGGCTTGAGGGCCAGTGCTCTGCACCCTGGGCCTGTGCTGGAGGTGACGGAGGAGCTGGGACAGGGCATGGTCTCTGGGCCTCCACCTGGCAGGACCAGAGAGGCCAGTAGGCAGGAGGGCCCGGTGTGTGTGGAGGGGGCAGAGGCAGGGCACGGGGAGGCTGCCCGGCTCGGGCCTGGCTCCTTGCGCTCCCTAGCAGAGTATCAGTGCCCAACACTGGCTGTGGGGCTTGGAACTGAGCAAGGCTGAAA